AAAGGGGGTTTTGGGGTGAGGGGGGTTGGACTTCCAGCCAAAACGTGCGTGAGCGTGTTAGATAGGAAATAACTGAGAAAGAATGGTTTAAAAAAATTTGGGGGACCTTGGGCCGGATCTGTTGATTTTGGCAGGGTAATATTTTGTGAAGGGATTCAGGGAAACCGGGTTTTTTTCATATAGTTTGGGCTTGAGTCCTGGGGAAATTTGGGGAAATACAATGCCTGCACTTTAAAGGAGGGGTTTTTGGATATTGGGAGGGTTTTGGGGGGTATGTTTTTGGTATCTTTTTAAAGTTATGCTTCAAAAATGTTTTTTTTATTTTGAGCACCCCGCAAAAAAAGTGATAAAGTGTGGGGTGTGGGGGGAAAAATGTTGGAAAGATGATGAAAGCATTTTCTTTTTGGGGGTTTTCTTTTTTTTTTTTGGGTCACCCTGGCCCCCAGTGGGAGCGGGGGCCCAAATTGTTAAAAAAAAAAAAAATATTTTATATATATAAAAAAAAAAAAAAAGGTTTTTACCCCAGTTTCCCAAAAATTATACCATGTTATAGCATCTGTAACAAAAACTGGAAAAAAACAAAAAAATGTAAAAAAATTACTGGTACACCTCTCTTCACTTAGCAATGTATCATCGACCGCCCCCTTGGAGTTACCAAAATGCTAACCCAAATAAAAATTTTAAAATTTGAGCTAACTTTTTTCTATTCTGTTATTTACATAAAAGTACAGTACATTAAATGTATAAAATTTAAAAAAATACAAAAAAAAAATTTTAAATGTTGCAAGGGTGGGCACTAAAAAAAAACTCAAAATGGTTTTACACAAACCCACTTCAGTACAGTTTGCTCCTCGCTTAACAACCAAATTTGCTTAAATAAACCCACTCTTTGGGAAAGGAAAAAAGATCCCTTAAGCGAGGAGAGGGTGTATCGTTTGTGCTAACATACCTTAATTTTTCAAAAAATAATAATAATAAATTTTCCCAAATAGTAGGTTGGTAGAAAAGCAACCCCCCCAGGGGGGTACTACCGCCGCCAAATGAGTGTAAAAAAGAAAGCCTGGGAATTGTTTTACATGATGGTAGGGTTGCGGGGGTTTTTTTTTCTGTCTCATAAATATGCAAAATTACAGTAAGTCTTGCTACTTCTACTTACCTTTGGGCACAAAAAAACATACAAAGAAAAAGCATATATATAAAACACCCCTCGGGGTTTTTTTCTATTTTTTTTTCTAAATTTTTGTTTTTGTTTTTTTTCCTCCCTTTTCTCCATTTGGGGAAATGGAAAAGAATTTTTCCTTGTAAACCATGCGGTCGTAAGAGGCGACTTTAAAAAGCCGGGGGCAAGGGGGTAAATAACCCCCTTTTCCCGTTTTATATTACTAAAAATTTAAAAAAAAGAAAAATTTAGTTTTTTTCTTTTGGGCCACCCCACCTCAAATTGGGGTACGGCTGGTACGTAAAGAAGAAGAAGAATTTAAAAATAATTATTAATATTTATTATTAATTTTTGTATTACATTATTTTTTAACACTTTTCTCCAAGGCCGGGTGACCCCTCAAAAAAGAGAAAAAAATTCACTAACACTCACCCCAACACGCTTGCCCGAGGGAGCTCACAATAAAAAGTTTAAAATGGGCGCCGGGGAAATGCAAACCTCCTCGCCCCTCCCCAGAATGGGAGGGACTGTACTTCCCAAACAATTTCTCAAGTCCAGCTAATGGCTTCCCCGAATCTCTTTACAAAAGTTTTAACCCCCAAAAAACCCTTTTAACAAAAACTTCATCATACAAACCACTTGCCTCCACTTTCCCCCTGATGTTTAAAACTCCTAGCACTAAAAAACCTCCATATTTAAAATATTACGTAAAAAACAAGGGCTAAAAGGAAATTTTAAAAAAAAAACCCTTTAGCATATTTAGAGTTGTACCAGGCAGCAAGAAAATAAATGGGGACGTTGAATGAGATTGGGTGCCTTGTCTTGCACATGTCGGAGTTTAAACAAATGCATTTAAAAGGGTCGACTTGCCCGAAAAATTTGGTTTCACCCCAAAATGTATATGTTCCTGAGTGTTTTTAAATATTTTTAAATTTTTGAAAAGGAATTTCAAAAAGCTTATATACAGTAACTTAAAAAAAAATACAAATTTTAACCGCTTTGTTTATTGTCAAATACGATAGTGACCTGAAAAAAAATGAACCCTTTCCCATCACTCAATTTTTTCACGTCCCTTTCCAAAGCATGCCGGGCATAAAAGCTTAGATTCCCCCCAAACTGCAACCCCCACCTCTCTTTTTAGAGTGCAGCACTGTATCTCTCACTTTTTGGGGCTTAATCTTGCTAAAATGGTTTCCTGAAATTTCCTTTTCAGATGTTTCCTTGCTCACACTTCAACAGCACTTCTCACAAAAACCACTTCTTTTCCCTTTTACTCTTAACCCAATACACCGCACATGCCTGTTGGAAAGTCCAAGCCCTTTTACTACAAAATGTCCCTTTTGGGCCATTCCTCCAAAATTCCCAGGGGGGTTGGGCCCCCACCCTCAAACAAAATTTGTTTATGACTTGATAAAGCCTTTTGTAAGGGGGAAACAAAGTCGGTAGATCAATTACATTATATTTGTCCCCTTTTTTTTTTCCATCAAGGTTTCCTTTTTTCAAGGGAAATATGTATAACTTTTTCCCCCTAAGTAAGAAATGGCAGATTTAACAACCAAGGTCATACTTTACCTCATCCCACCACCCGCAAGTTCTTACATATAACAAACTTGAAATTTTGAAAAAAATAAAAAAAAAAAAAAGAGAGTTCTCCAAAAAAAAATTTTTATTATTATTTTTATTATTAATTTTTATAAATTTGGGTGGTTTTAAAAAAAAATTATTATTTTGCCCTTTATGAAAGGGAAATGCTAAAAAATTGGGGGTCCCTTGGGCAGCCCCAGGAAAAAGAAAAAATTTAGCTTTTATCCCAAAAGGAAGGGGATTTGGGGAATGGTGTTTTCCAACAGCCTTCCCCCAATATCAAGGTATCCTCCGCAGATAGTTACCCAAATTTTGTTTAAAACCCAAAAGCTGTTTTACCAATATCAAGGGGATCCTCCCCAGATTTGTTACAATTCGTTTAACCCAAAAGCCCCTTCACCAAATCAAGGTATCCCCCGCGAAAGTTAAAATTTTTTGTTTACCAACAGCCGTTCACCAAAAATAAAAGGGATCCCCCGCAGATAGTTACAATTCGTTTAAACCCCCCGTTCACCAAAAAACAAGGTATCCTCCGCAGAAAAGTTACAATTCTGTTTTCCAAAACCCTTCACCAATATCAAGGTATCCTCCGCAGATAGTTACAATTCTGTTTACCAACAGCCGTTCACCAATATCAAGGTATCCTCCGCAGATAGTTACAATTCTGTTTACCAACAGCCTTTTACCAATATCAAGGTATCCTCCGCAGATAGTTTTCAATTCCCGTTTTTCCAACAGCTTTTTCACCCAAAATTTAAGGTATCCCCACAGGAAAAAAAGTTTCAATTCTGTTTTTCCAACAGCCCCTTTTACCCTATCAAAAGGGACCCCCCCCCTTATTCCTTCAATTTTAAACCCCCCCTTCCCCTATGCTCCCGTCCTTTCCCACTTTACTACTTTTAAAAAAATATATACAAAGGGGCCCCCCATAAAGTCACCTCCGAATGCACCAATTAAAGAAGTGTATTTATGGAAAATGCGTTTGTACGTGTATCTTTGGGGGGGCTGAAATGGACAATTACTTCCCAATATTCCTTATGGGAACAAATTGGGCAGTTCTGGCACCTGAACATACTTTTGGAGTGAAAAAAAAAAGTTAAACCCGGGGGTTTTCCCCTGTATTTTATATATTTAAATAATTCCATTTTTCCCGGAAACCCTTTTTATTTTCTTTCTCACTACATTTATATTTCTCATCATAATTCTGTACTAACATATTTCAGTAAATTCTTGTTTTAAAAGGGCCTTGCAAAAACAAATTTCGAAAAAAAAGACAAAATTACTTTACTCAATAGACTTATAACTCATTTAATTTCAATGGGTTATAACAGTACAGTGGGCCCCCCCCCGGGTTTTCGAATTATTTCATTCCAAAGTATGGTCCAAAGGGGCCAGTACTGAACAAATTTTTTTCCCATAAAGGGAAAATTTTGAATTAGATTAGTCAGTTTCAGACCCCCAAAAATGCATGACCAAAAAGCCCCTTAAAATAATTGGTTGGGATTGGGAGCTGATCGCAAACGGGGTCCACTGATATTTAAATTACTTTTTCAGTACTTATTAAATAACAGGAGAGTACTTTTGGGCTATTTTTCTGATTTAACGCCCCACTAAAAGTTCCCCCCATTAGTTGGTTATATTGAAGGGTTTTCTGTAATTTTCCCTGGGACCGTGTGAAATTGTAAACTTTTTTAAAAAAATGTAGACAAAGAAATACCGTAAAAGGCAAGCCCGCTTGTACAGCAGGGTTTGGGTTTCCCACAAAACTGTAAAGAAAAAATTGCTGTAAATTTAAAAAAAAGGCTTTTTTTTTACTTTCAGATGCAATAAAAGCCTGATAATATGTTTTTCACACTAAATATTAAATGACCAATAAACTAGAAACCCTTAAAAAAGCAAATAGAAGTGTTTTTCCCGACACGGGCTTAGCAGATGATTTACCCCCTGTTGGGGCTTTTTGGGCATTTGACCAAGGGCCCTTTTGCGGTTTACAGGTCCCCCCTTAAAAAAATTTTGGGCATTGTAATAACCATTTTGTAGGACTGCATATTAAAATTTCACCATTACATAAAATTTTCTTTATCCCTTTGTTATGGAGTTTGGGAATGTATTTTTTGTAGGGGAAGTCTGAATGAAAAGAAAATGGGTATAGAAAGTGAAAATGTTGCAAATTTCGAAATTCCCGAAAAACGGGTCTGCCTGCATTTTTTTCACTCCACACACTGCAATTTACACATTATGTGTTTACTGTATATTTCTCTCTCTCATATTTTTTCCTTTGTTTGCTAATCACTTGATACTTATTGCTACAATATGCACTGCACTGTTATTCACAATTCCAACTACCATGCTGAAGAAATATAAAACAAACCTTTTGTACCCCACGAGTTATGGATTTTTGTGATGAGACTTTCAATCCCAAATCCTGTTTGTGAAGAAATTAGAGCTACATGGCAAATATTTGCTCGACCTAAGTCAGTCTTCGCGATAGCTGCAGTGAGTGATTCCTTAATTCTGTGAAGGTGATTTTTGCCATCGGCTGGCAGAAGGTCAACCTTATTTCCCACCACCACCACTGGTCTGCGTGTGCCTGTATGACATTATAACAGTGTACAGATTAATTATTGTCTTTATAATTAAGTATAATAACGATTTTGGTATTGAAATTTATTCTAATCCAATTAAAATAAATTACAATATCATTGCAATTTATTCTAATTGGATTAGAATAAATAACCCTTGCTTTAGAGAAGAAACTGTAAACCAAGTTAACTAACATATATATATTGAACATAAATTTTGGAATGCAATTTATTATATAAATTCTGAAATGTAATATATTGCATTTATTGTAATTTTAGTAAATTTCTTCCACTAAAAAGCTCCATAAATTCATCAAAATTATTGGTTCTATAATCTCATGAATAGAAATTATAAATGTTCACAAACTTACCAATGATATCCATGAGCTTGGGCCAGATGGAGCATGGCACATCTAAAAGATCAACCACCACCAATAACAATGCTTTCTGATCTTTGATTGGTGCCAGAATTTTTGGGTATACTGATGGTGAGACACGTACATTCAGGGCCACTTTATGGTATCTAAGAAAAAAGCACCGCTGGCATAAGACACTACGCAGTTCACCACGATCACGACCTTCAAAAAGCTCTTTTGAAACAAAGCCTAAAAACAGAAAATAAAAGTAATTTGAAGTTAATATGATTTTTAAAATAAATAATGGGACAAACTTGGGTTTTCAGTGTGAACCAATTACAAATGATCAGTGAAACTTTGTTAACAGTGTGGCATTATGAAGTTATATTCCAGAGGGCTGAGGAAGAGTTGTTGAAGTGGCGTGGGCATTAAGAATTAAGAGAGGATTAAGCAGAATAGGATGACCATTCCACGCGTACATGCGATGCATTTTGTATTATTCCATTTTTTTAGTGCTTGTAACTGCTAAATAAGCCACCACAGGCCCAAAGAAAGCTTCTAGTGCCAGCCCTTTGGTAAAGAGGGTGTGAAACACTATAGAATTCAAGAAAAAGTTTGCAGAAAGATATGAAAGTGGTGGTGGTAGAGGGTGGTAGTGATGATGGTACACCAGCCAGGCTACTTCCCCACACACCAGCCAGGGTACTTCCTCACATACCAGCCAGGGTACTTCCCCACACACCAGCCAGGGTACTTCCCCACACACCAGTCAGAGTACTTCCCCACACACCAGCCAGGGTACTTCCCCACACACCAGCCAGGGTACTTCCCCACATATCAGCCAGGGTGCTTCTCCACACACATGATCTGATTTGAGTGGGACTTGCACATGAGTGAACAGAATTACCAAAGCTTATTGCATGGGAAGCACTGAAAATTGGGTTGGGCAAATACGATTCTGTTAGTGAGATGGTTTGTGAAGGACCTGCCTACTATGGGTCATCAGGCATGCTGCAGTGTTCCTGCTTTCTTATGTGCAAACATTTATGGATGAACATCACCCTGACACAGCTGTTGCAGGCTGTGCTGGCAACATCTACAATGACAATGTTGTGTCCCATTTTAGGGAAATCTTAGAGATGCCAGAAACAGAGCTCTCTGGACAGATATGTAGTGCCACAGGTGTGCAGTGACTCTCAAGCTGGTTCTAGTGGCATTAAAAAAAAAAAGAAGGGAAGTAACCCCAGAAAAAGACTTGGTAGCTGAAGTCTTTATGGAAGGGGATTCCCCTTCAATTTAGATAAAGAAAAATTGGATATCACATTGGAGAGAGAGGGAGTATGGAAGAAGTAAATGTTTTCAGATATTTGGGAGTTGACTTGTCAGCATATGGGTTTATGAAGGATGAGGTTAATCCTAGAATTGATGAAGGAAAAAAGGTGAGTGGTGCATTGAGGTAGTATATGTGGAGAAAAAAAAATTTATCTATGGAGGCAAAGAAGGGAATGTATGAAAGTATAGTAGTACCAACACTCTTATATGGGTGTGAAGCTTGGGTTGTAAATACTGCAGTGAGGAAGCAGCTGGAGGCAGTGGAGATGTCCTGTCTAAGGGCAATGTGTGGTGCAAATATTATGCAGAAAATTGGGAGTGTGGAAATTAGGAGGAGGTGTGGAGTTAATAAAAGTATTAGTCAGAGGGCTGAAGAGGGGTTGTTGAGGTGGTTTGGTCATTTAGAGAGAATGGATCAAAGTAGAATGACATGGAGTGTGTATATAAATCTGCAGGGGAAGGAAGGCGGGTTAGGGGTTGTCCTCAAAAAGGCTGGAGGGGGTAAAGGAGGTTTTGTGGGCGAGGAGCTTGGACATCCAGCAGCGTGCATGAGCGTGTTAGATAGGAGTGAAAGGAGACGAATGGTATTTGGGACCTGACGAGCTGTTGGAGTGTGAGCAGGGTAATATTTAGTGAAAGGATTCAGGGAAACTGGTTATTTTATATAACTGGACTTGAGTCCTGGAAATGGGAAAAACAATGCCTGCACTTTAACCCTTTCAGGGTCAACAGTCCCTCTCCGAGACTTGTTCTCAGGGTTGGCCAAATTTAAAAAAAAAAAAATTATTTTTTCTTATGAAAAGATAGAGAATCTTTTTCCAATCATAATGACACCAAAAGTATGAAATTTGATGGAAAACTTACGGAATTATGCTCTCGCGAAGTTAGCGGTCTCAACGATGTTTACGCATTGGCGATTTTGTCCACTTCGAGCCCTGTTTTCGGCCAATTCCAGTGTGCTAGTCGACAAAAATCATAACTATTTTGCAAGAACTCCATTTTTTCTATTGAATGAGTGCAAGAAACCACCCATTTATCGATTTCAACTATCCAATACAGTGGTCAGAATTAAGCAATTTTGCCAATTTTACACAAATTTCAAAAGATGCCAATTTCCGAATAGGGTCCAGAATAAACAAGAAAGACATTCCTGGCACTAAAATAACATTTCCTCTGTTCATTAGACATGTCCCCACGCCCCTCTTACATTATTTTGCTTTCTACTTTGAATTTTTATTCTCACAAAAAATAGAAGATTTACTGTTATGCAGATTACTGCATTAGTGTAGAAATGGTATGAATAATATCAGCACACTTGTGAAAGAATATTAGACTCACCAGTTGACGTGTATTGGACGCATAGCATGATTTGTTTACTTTTGAACTTTGGAAAAAATCAAATATTTCTGCTACTTTGAGCTCAATTTCAAGGTACTTTTCATTGTAAAACCAATCAAAATCATCTCAATTTCTGTAATGTCTTCCATTCTATAAAATGAGACCAAGAAAACTAGAATACAACAATAAATACCACACGAAAATACAGTGCAAAGTCGCTGTTTTAATCCAAAAACACGGTCAAAGTTTTTTTTCTCATTACGCACTGAGTGCTGCAGGATTTTTTTCATACTGCACACACTGACCACATAGACCCATTCTTTCATATGTAGGCCTACCAGCTTTCTCTCACTAGATTTGAGGGCGCTAGAATTTAGGCGTACTAGTACGTCAAAAACCCTGGTGCGTAAGCCATACTAGTACGGCCGAAACCCCGAAAGGGTTAAAGGAGGGGTTTGGGATATTGGCAGTTTGGAGGGATATGTTGTGTATCTTTATACGTATATGCTTCTAAACTGTTGTATTCTGAGCACCTCTGCAAAAACAGTGATTATGTGTGAGTAAGGTGAAAGTGTTGAATGATGATGAAAGTATTTTTTTTTGGGGGGGGGGATTTTCTTTCTTTTTGGGTAACCCTGCCTTGGTGGGAGATGGCCGACTTGTTAAAAAAAACATATATACATGTATAAATATATATATATATATATAGAATGACATGGAGAGCATATAAATCTGTAGGAGAAGGAAGGCACCATGATGGTAGGATTGCTTGTGTCTTTTGTCTGTCTCATAAATATGCAAGATTACAGGTAAGTCTTGCTACTTCTACTTACACTTAGGTCACACTACACATACATGTACATGTTTATTTATACACACTCATCTGAGTTTTCTTTGATTTTATCTTAATAGTTCTTGGTCTTATTACTTTTCCTTTTATATCCATGGGGAAGTGGAATAAGAATCTTTCCTCCGTAAGCCATGCGTGTTGTAAAAGTCAACTAAAATGCCGGGAACAATGGGCTAGTAACCCCTTTTCCAGTAAAGATTACTAAAAAGAATAAGAAGAAGAAAATTGTCAAAGTGGGAAGTCTGAATGTGCGTGGATGTTGTGCAAATGATAAGAAAGAGATGATTGTGGGTGTTATGAATGAGAAGAAACTGGATGTCCTGGCTTTAAGTGAAACAAAGCTGAAGGGGGTGGGAGAGTTTCAATGGAGAGGAATAAATGGGATTAGGTCAGGGGTTTCAAATAGAGTTAGAGCTAAAGAAGGAGTAGCAATAATGTTGAAGGATAAGCTATGGCAGGAAAAGAGGGACTACAAATGCATAAATTCAAGGATTATGTGGAGTAAAATAAAGATTGGATGTGAAAAGTGGGTTATAGTAAGCGTATATGCACCTGGAGAAGAGAGAAGTGTAGAGGAGAGAGAGAGATTCTGGGAAATGTTGAGTGAATGCGTGGGGAGTTTTGAATCAAGTGTGAGAGTAATGGTGGTTGGGGATTTCAATGCTAAAGTGGGTAAAAATGTTATGGAGGGAGTAGTAGGTAAATTTGGGGTGCCAGGGGTAAATGTAAATGGGGAGCCTTTAATTGAGCTATGTGTAGAAAGAAATTTGGTAATAAGTAATACATATTTTATGAAAAAGAGGATAAATAAATACACAAGGTATGATGTAGCACGTAATTAAAGTAGTTTGTTAGATTATGTATTGGTGGATAAAAGGTTGATGGGTAGGCTCCAGGATGTACATGTTTATAGAGGGGCACTGATATATCAGATAATTATTTAGTTGTAGCTACAGTTAGAGTAAGAGGTAGATGGGAAAAGAGGAAGGTGGCAACAACAAGTAAGAGGGAGGTGAAAGTGTATAAACTAAGGGAGGAGGAAGTTCGGGGGAGATATAAGCGACTATTGGCAGAAAGGTGGGCTAGTGCAAAGATGAGTAGTGGGGGGGTTGAAGAGGGTTGGAATAGTTTTAAAAATGCAGTATTAGAATGTGGGGCAGAAGTTTGTGGTTATAGGAGGGTGGGGGCAGGAGGAAAGAGGAGTGATTGGTGGAATGATGAAGTAAAGGGTGTGATAAAAGAGAAAAAGGTAGCTTATGAGAGGTTTTTACAAAGCAGAAGTGTTATAAGAAGAGCAGAGTATATGGAGAGTAAAAGAAAGGTGAAGAGAGTGGTGAGAGAGTGCAAAAGGAGAGCAGATGAAAGAGTGGGAGAGGCACTGTCAAGAAATTTTAATGAAAATAAGAAAAAATTTTGGAGTGAGTTAAACAAGTTAAGAAAGCCTAGGGAAAGTATGGATTTGTCCGTTAAAAACAGAGTAGGGAGTTAGTAGATGAGGAGAGGGAGGTATTAGGTAGATGGCGAGAATATTTTGAGGAACTTTTAAATGTTGAGGAAGAAAGGGAGGCGGTAATTTCATGCACTGGCCAGGGAGGTATACCATCTTTTAGGAGTGAAGAAGAGCAGAATGTAAGTGTGGTGGAGGTACGTGAGGCATTACGTAGAATGAAAGGGGGTAAAGCAGCTGGAACTGATGGGATCATGACAGAAATGTTAAAAGCAGGGGGGGATATAGTGTTGGAGTGGTTGGTACTTTTGTTTAATAAATGTATGAAAGAGGGGAAGGTACCTAGGGATTGGCAGAGAGCATGTATAGTCCCTTTATATAAAGGGAAAGGGGACAAAAGAGATTGTAAAAATTATAGAGGAATAAGTTTACTGAGTATACCAGGAAAAGTATACGGTAGAGTTATAATTGAAAGAATTAGAGGTAAGACAGAATGTAGAATTGCGGATGAGCAAGGAGGCTTCAGAGTGGGTAGGGGATGTGTAGATCAAGTGTTTACATTGAAGCATATATGTGAACAGTATTTAGATAAAGGTAGGGAAGTTTTTATTGCATTTATGGATTTAGAAAAGGCATATGATAGAGTGGATAGAGGAGCAATGTGGCAGATGTTGCAAGTTTATGGAATAGGTGGTAAGTTACTAAATGCTGTAAAGAGCTTTTATGAGGATAGTGAGGCTCAGGTTAGGGTGTGTAGAAGAGAGGGAGAATACTTCCCGGTAAAAGTAGGTCTTAGACAGGGATGTGTAATGTCACCATGGTTGTTTAATATATTTATAGATGGGGTTGTAAAAGAAGTAAATGCTAGGGTGTTCGGGAGAGGGGTGGGATTAAATTATGGGGAATCAAATTCAAAATGGGAATTGACACAGTTACTTTTTGCTGATGATACTGTGCTTATGGGAGATTCTAAGGAAAAATTGCAAAGGTTAGTGGATGAGTTTGAGAATGTGTGTAAAGGTAGAAAGTTGAAAGTGAACATAGAAAAGAGTAAGGTGATGAGGGTATCAAATGATTTAGATAAAGAAAAATTGGATATCAAATTGGGGAGGAGGAGTATGGAAGAAGTGAATGTTTTCAGATACTTGGGAGTTGACGTGTCGGCGGATGGATTTATGAAGGATGAGGTTAATCATAGAATTGATGAGGGAAAAAAGGTGAGTGGTGCGTTGAGGTATATGTGGAGTCAAAAAACGTTATCTATGGAGGCAAAGAAGGGAATGTATGAAAGTATAGTAGTACCAACACTCTTATATGGATGTGAAGCTTGGGTGGTAAATGCAGCAGCGAGGAGACGGTTGGAGGCAGTGGAGATGTCCTGTCTAAGGGCAATGTGTGGTGTAAATATTATGCAGAAAATTCAGAGTGTGGAAATTAGGAGAAGGTGTGGAGTTAATAAAAGCATTAGTCAGAGGGCAGAAAAGGGGTTGTTGAGGTGGTTTGGTCATTTAGAGAGAATGGATCAAAGTAGAATGACATGGAAAGCATATAAATCTATAGGGGAAGGAAAGAGGGGTAGGGGTCGTCCTCGAAAGGGCTGGAAAGAGGGGGTAAAGGAGGTTTTGTGGGCGAGGGGCTTGGACTTCCAGCAAGCGTGCATGAGCGTGTTAGATAGGAGTGAATGGAGACGAATGATACTTGGGACCTGACGATCTGTTGGAGTGTGAGCAGGGTAATATTTAGTGAAGGGATTCAGGGAAACCGGTTATTTTCTTATAGTCGGACTTGAGTCCTGGAAATGGGAAGTACAATGCCTGCACTTTAAAGGAGGGGTTTGGGATATTGGCAGTTTGGAGGGATATGTTGTGTATCTTTATACGTATATGCTTCTAAACTGTTGTATTCTGAGCACCTCTGCAAAAGCAGTGATAATGTGTGAGTGTGGTGAAAGTGTTGAATGATGATGAAAGTATTTTCTTTTTGGGGATTTTCTTTCTTTTTTGGGTCACCCTGCCTCGGTGGGAGACGACCAACTTGTTGAAAAAAAAAAAAATATAGAATGACATGGAGAGCATATAAATCTGTAGGAGAAGGAAGGCGGGTAGGGGTCATCCTCAAAAAGGTTGGAAGGAAGGGGTAAGGGATGTTTTGTGGGCGAGGGGCTTGGACTTCCAGCAGGCGTGCATGAGCATGTTTGATAGGAGTGAATGGAGACGAATGGTATTTGGGACCTGACGATCTGTTGGAGTGTGAGCAGGGTAATATTTATTGAAGGGATTCAGGGAAACCGGTTATTTTTATATAGCCGGACTTGAGTCCTGGAATCGGAAATACAAAGCCTGCACTCTAAAGGAGGGGTTTCGGAATATTAGCAGTTTGGAGGGATAAGTTGTGTACAGTGGACCCCCGCATACCGTTGGCCTTACATAACGTTAAATCCGCATACCGATACATTTTATCGCTAAAATTTTGCCTCGCATACCGCTAAAAAACCTGCTCAACGCTGTTCGTCCGAGACGCGTCTAATGTGCGGCCTTAGCCAGCCTCACATGTTCCGCCGGTGGCATTGTTTACCAGCCAGCCTCCGCGGTAACATCCAAGCATACAATCGGAACATTTCGTATTATTACAGTGTTTTTGGTGATTTTATCTGCAAAATAAGTGACCATGGGCCCCAAGAAAGCTTCTAGTGCCAACCCTACAGGAATAAGGGTGAGAATTACTATAGAGATGAAGAAAGAGATCATTGATAAATATGAAAGTGGAGTGTGTGTCTCCGAGCTGGCCAGGTTGTATAATAAACCCCAATCAACCATCGCTACTATTGTGGGCAACAAAAAGGCAATCAAGGAAGCTGTTCTTGCCAAAGGTTCAACTGTGTTTTCGAAACAGAGATCGCAAGTGATGGAAGATGTTGAGAGACTCTTATTGGTGTGGATAAATGAAAAACAGATAGCAGGAGATAGCATCTCTCAAGTGATCATAAGTGAAAAGGCTAGGAAGTTGCATCAGGATTTAATTAAAAAAATGCCTGCAACTAGTGATGATGTGAGTGAATTTAAGGCCAGCAAAGGTTGGTTTGAGAGATTTAAGAAGCGTAGTGGCATACATAGTGTGATAAGGCATGGTGAGGCTGCCAGTTCGGACCACAAAGCAGCTGAAAAATTTGTGCAGGAATTCAAGGAGTACATAGACAGTGAAGGATTGAAACCTGAACAAGTGTTTAATTGTGAAGAAAAAGGCCTGTTTTGGAAGAAAATGCCAAGCAGGACCTACATTACTCAGGAGGAAAAGGCACTCCCAGGACATAAGCCTATGAAAGACAGGCTTACTCTTCTCATGTGTGCCAATGCTAGTGGTGATTGCAAAGTGAAGCCTTTATTAGTGTATCACTCAGAAACTCCCAGAGCGTTCAGGCAAAAGAATATCCTCAAGGCTAATTTGTGTGTGCTGTGGAGGGCAAACAGTAAGGCATGGGTCACTAGGGACTTTATCTATGACTGGTTACACCATGCATTTGCCCCCAATGTGAAAGATTGCCTAACTGAAAAGAAATTAGACCTTAAGTGCCTCCTGGTGTTAGACAATGCCCCTGGTCATCCTACAGACGTGGCAGAGCGACTTTATGGGGACATGAGCTTCATTAAGGTCAAGTTTTTGCCTCCTAATACCACTCCTCTCCTGCAGCCCATGGACCAGCAGGTTATTGCAAACTTCAAAAAACTGTACACAAAAGCTCTGTTTGAAAGGTGCTTTGTAGTGACCTCAGAAACTCAACTGACTCTAAGAGAGTTTTGGAGAGAGCACTTTAATATCCTCAATTGTGTAAACCTTATAGGTAAGGCTTGGGAGGGAGTGACTAAGAGGACCTTGAACTCTGCTTGGAAGAAACTGTGGCCAGAATGTGTAGACCAAAGGGATTTTGAAGGGTTTGAGGCTAACCCTAGGAATCCTATGCCAGTTGAGGAATCAATTGTGGCATTGGGGAAGTCCTTGGGGTTGGAGGTTAGTGGGGATGATGTGGAAGAGTTGGTGGAGGAGGACAATGAAGAACTAACCACTGATGAGCTGCTAGATCAACTTCAACAGCAAGAGGCCAGACCTGAGGAAACTGGTTCGGAGGAGGGGAGAGAGAAATTGAAGAAGTTGCCTACTACAAAGATTAAGGAAATCTGTGCAATGTGGCTGAAAGTGCAAACCTTTATGGATGAAAATCACCCTCACACAGCTATTGCAAGCCGTGCTGGTGACTATTACACTGACAATGTTGTGAAACACTTTAGGAACGAGAGGTACAGGCCACTATGGACAGATGTGTTGTGCGACAGAAGTCCAGTGACTCTGAAGCTGGTCCTAGTGGCATTAAAAGAAGAAGGGAACTAACCCCAGAAAAGGACTTGACACCTCAAGTCTTAATGGAAGGGGATTCCCCTTCTAAACACTAAGACTCTCTCCTCCTCCCATCCCATCAATTATCACCAGATCTTCAATAAAGGTAAGTGTCATGTAATTGTGCATGCCTTTTTCAGTTTGTGTGTATTAAAATTAATATTTCATGTGGTAAAAATGTTTTTTTTCATACTTTGGGGTGTCTTGCACGGATTAATTTGATTTCCATTATTTCTTATGGGGAAAATTCATTCGCATAACGATAATTTCGCATAACAATGAGCTCTCATGAACGGATTAATATCGTTATGCGGGGGTCCACTGTATCTTTATACGAATATGCTTCTAAACTGTTGTGTTCTGAGCACCTCTGCAAAAACAGTGATTATGTGTGAGTGAGGTGAAAGTGTTGAATAATGATGAAAGTATTTTCTTTTTGGGCATTTTCTTTCTTTTTGGGTCACCCTGCCTCGGTGGGAGACGGCCGACTTGTTAAAATATATATATATATATATATATATATATATGTATATATTTATTTAACACACTGGTCATCTCCCATCAGTTATGTTATGTATTCACATCATTACAAGTTGGTGAATGATTTACGGGTATGGGTAATCAAACCTTCACCTAACAGAAGGTTAATTATTTATTGGGTATTTACTGGTTGGCACTGTAATGTTAAAAATATTTACTATTATACTTTATTGTAAAATTATGTAAATAGCTGAGAGTAATCTAGATAAACACAAATAGAACACCAAGTGATACCCAAGCATAAGGCTGCCTAATTACCTGGGAATGAAGAATCCTGACAATGTAGGTGAGCTCCACATCCACCACAAGGCACATCACTCACAGTGGTGGCAGGATCAACCATGGCCCCACCTTTCCCAGATGGAGCCAATTCACTATTTAAACCCTCTTCAAATTCTTTGGTGAAAGAATTGAATAAATTTTCTTCATTTAAATAGTCATTAAAAGCATTTTCAGTTGAAAAGCTGTTTAATGACTTTTCTAGCTTCTGTAAAGTTCCATTTTCATAGGCATGCATTCTATAAGCAATGTCCTCTCTCACACCCATGCCAACATTATCAAGCTCTGAATCTGTTCCTTCTGTTTGTGATTCAAGATCTTTTAGGTTAATATATTCTATGTGAGAGTATGGGTATGATACTGTCATGCTTTTGTTTGAAATCTCGTCATTACCCAGTTCAATGTCATCGCTAGTTTCCTCCTGCTTTGCAAGCATTTGTTCAATGATGAGAGGAATGGCTTTGCGCTTTTTTTCTCTATCTTGTTCAGCTTTCAATTTATGTTCCAAATATTTTCTTGTGGTATATTTAAATTTGCCACTTCTGTCAGCAATATGTGAGCTATAGATAATTCGTTTATCATTTTTATATTTAACTATTTCTGGTACTTTCCCTTCATCAATATCTTCTTCCTTGATGTCTTTCTGTGACATAATTACAGCATTTAATGATCTTTTCATGTGGATAAACCTAAGATTATTCTGGTTATGTATACGGCATAACACTATATACTTATGTATAATGGGAGTTTGTGCTACTGCCCACAAACAATTATAAAACCTGGTTACTTTCTGCATGTTTGAGAGAGCCAAGATTTTGCCAGCAAGTGACACTGTCAAGTCAGTCAAGCTATACCCATCAATGATGTTCTGGAAAAAAAAAAAAAGTTAGTACAAAAGTAACATTCTTATCAATGATTTGGAAAACTGTTTCATAATATGATAATGATATGGAACAATGCATAGTTATTGTTGTCTGTTTGTTCGACCTTTTTTGGGGTTATCCTAGGTAATTTACACTTAGTATGATAAGTGTACTTATGTGTACCTGCTCCTAATAAACTTACTTTCTATGTTCTAAATGTACTTACCAGGGTGTTTCAGACAGCTGTGGGTAAGTAAGTTTATTCAGGTACATGTACATATAAATACAGTTACATAAATTAACATACATAGTAGTACATGTGTAGGTTACCTAGGATAACCCCCCAAAAAAAGTCCAACAGACTTATTTCCATTGGGGTCCTTGCAATAACTTATTTAAACCTTAAAAGTTAAAACAGCTAAGTAACTCAACCATGTGAAAAGCGGTTACAATAAAAGGAGATATACTAGGAATACGGTAAACCGAGGTATTTACTTAACATTAAAGAGAGGATTAGATCACAGTAATAGGTACATGTATGTTTGGTGTACAAGAAATCACTTTCCTTCCTTTCTGTTGCTACATTCATTTGGTACCTTTTACTTTTCTTCCTGAACTGGCTCATACTGACACGTACAGGCAGTACTCCTTTATTGCTGTACAATAAAGTAAGTTTATTTATACACAAATACAGTTACATAGATTATCATACATAGCAGCATATGTGTAGAGAACCTAGGATAACCCAAAACAGTGAGACAGTGACGTATATCCATTGGGGTCCTTTTACCTTATTATTATAATATAAAGGCTATAATATCTTATTATTATTCTAAATGAAGATAATATCTTATCATACTAAAAAGACTATCTACTACACGAGGGTCATTAAGACTACAATACGAGGATCATTACTAGGAACACGGTAAAATTACACGTAAGTTAGCTAAAAAATAGAAAATCATTCCCCTCATGGAACTCTGTGTTCATCGAGAACTGCAAGAAGCCCCTATCACGAGCCTTTTCCATCCTATGGAGAGGGAGCATGGACACGGGGGTCGTCCCTCAGTTACTAAAAACAACAGACATAGCCCCACTCCACAAAGGGGGCAGTAAAGCAACAGCAAAGAACTACAGACCAATAGCACTAACATCCCATATCATAAAAATCTTTGAAAGGGTCCTAAGAAGCAAGATCACCACCCATCTAGAAACCCATCAGTTACACAACCCAGGGCAACATGGGTTTAGAACAGGTCGCTCCTGTCTGTCTCAACTACTGGATCACTACGACAAGGTCCTAAATGCACTAGAAGACAAAAAGAATGCAGATGTAATATATACAGACTTTGCAAAAGCCTTCGACAAGTGTGACCATGGCGTAATAGCGCACAAAATGCGCGCTAAAGGAATAACAGGAAAAGTCGGTCGATGGATCTATAATTTCCTCACTAACAGAACACAGAGAGTAGTCGTCAACAGAGTAAAGTCCGAGGCAGCTACGGTGAAAAGCTCTGTTCCACAAGGCACAGTACTAGCTCCCATCTTGTTCCTCATCCTCATATCCGACATAGACAAGGATGTCAGCCACAGCACCGTGTCTTCCTTTGCAGATGACACCCGAATCTGCATGACAGTGTCTTCCATTGCAGACACTGCAAGGCTCCAGGCGGACATCAACCAAATCTTTCAGTGGGCTGCAGAAAACAATATGAAGTTCAACGATGAGAAATTTCAATTACTCAGATATGGTAAACATGAGGAAATTAAATCTTCATCAGAGTACAAAACAAATTCTGGCCACAAAATAGAGCGAAACACCAACGTCAAAGACCTGGGAGTGATTATGTCGGAGGATCTCACCTTCAAGGACCATAACATTGTATCAATCGCATCTGCTGAGAAAAATGACAGGATGGACAATGAGAACCTTCAAAACTAGGGAGGCCAAGCCCATGATGACACTCTTCAGGTCACTTGTTCTATCTAGGCTGGAATATTGCTGCACTCTAACAGCACCTTTCAAGGCAGGTGAAATTGCCGACCTAGAAAATGTACAGAGAACTTTCACGGCGCGCATAACGGAGATAAAACACCTCAATTACTGGGAGCGCTTGAGGTTTCTAAACCTGTATTCCCTGGAACGCAGGAGGGAGAGATACATGATTATATACACCTGGAAAATCCTAGAGGGACTAGTACCGAACTTGCACACGAAAATCACTCACTACGAAAGCAAAAGACTTGGCAGACGATGCACCATCCCCCCAATGAAAAGCAGGGGTGTCACTAGCACGTTAAGAGACCATACAATAAGTGTCAGGGGCCCGAGACTGTTCAACTGCCTCCCAGCACACATAAGGGGGATTACCAACAGACCCCTGGCAGTCTTCAAGCTGGCACTGGACAAGCACCTAAAGTCAGTTCCTGATCAGCCGGGCTGTGGCTCGTACGTTGGTTTGCGTGCAGCCAGCAGCAACAGCCTGGTTGATCAGGCGCTGATCCACCAGGAGGCCTGGTCACAGACCGGGCCGCGGGGGCATTGACCCCCGAAACTCTCTCCAGGTAAACTCCAGGTAAACTCCCTTGCTGTAGCTACATTCATCAGATACCTTTTGGCACTCTTCTTGAACTGGTTCATGCTAAGACTGGCTTTGACATGTGCGGGCAGTCTGTTCCATTCCTTTATTGCTGTACAATAAAAGGTGTTTGAAGCCTGGCCACTGACTGTGGCTACTACAAAGTTGTGCTCTCTCCCCCTAGTACTATGATTGCTTTGGTTCCCAACCTTGACAAAATTGGCAGCAATATATTCTGTTTAAAGCCTGACCACCTACTATGGGTACTACAAAGTTGGGTCGCATTCCGAGAGTGGACATAAGGACCCCAATGGAAATAAATACCTTTGATTGGCTTTTCTGGATTACTTACCCTTTAGGGAAATAATACATACATACAGTTTGCTTGTTTTTGTTGTTGTTGTTGTTGGGGTTTATAGGGCCGCTGACAGCATACGCCGATACAGTTTGCTTAGATTTTGTATTTTATTCCGAATTGTTGTTGGTCTATAGGGCAGCTATAGCCTATGCCGTTGGAGCCTTGCTTCCAATTTTCTGCAAAAGGAAGCAAGTTTATTAATGTACAGGTACACATAAATACTGGTACATAAATTGTCATACATAGCAGCATATCTGTAGGTTACCTAGGATGATCAAAAAAAGTCAACGTGACTTATTTCCATTAGGGTCTAATGGCTTAAGACTCACTGTGACCTCTCTAATCCTTTTTTTTTTTTTTTTGCGCTACCGCTCACACGATGAGCACGGGGTGACAAAATAAACTAGCCTCTCAGGCGGCGCTACTAACTAGCCGGGGTTTGAACTCAGTAGGGAACAGAAGTTCCCTTCAGGAATAGGGACGGATCAAAAAATTCCCGATAGGTCAGGTGAATCCCACTCTTGAACACCGGCAGCCAGACGCCCACACTCGGCTATGAAATTCAATAATAATAATAATAATAATAATAATAATAATAATAATAATAATAATAATAATAATAATAATAATAATAATAATAATAATAATAATAATAATAATGTCTTTATTTCTACAAGCACATGTACAAGGTATACAGGCCTAGCTAACATTAATGACATACTACTACAAAGAAAGCCGCTTGTTATGCAGAGTATTTCGGGCAAATTAGGTCAATTTTGCCCCAGGATGCGACCCACACCAGTCGACTAACGCCCAGGTACCCATTTTTACTGATGGGTGAACATGGACAACCGGTGTAAGGAAACACGCCCAATGTTTTTACCTTCGCTGGGACTCGAACCCGGACTTCAGCGTGTGAAGCGAAAGTTTTTGTCACCAGGCTACGGGCCACCAATCAATCAGTTTATTTCCACATAATACATCTTTACATCATTTGTACAAAATTGGATGATATTTCACCTCTCACCTCACACCATCTGGAGATTACCTGGAGAGAGTTCCGGGGGTCAACGCCCCCGCGGCCAGGTCTGTGACCAGGCCTCCTGGTGGATCAGAGCCTGATCAACCAGGCTGTTACTGCTGGCTGCACGCAAACCAACGTACGAGCCACAGCCCGGCTGGTCAGGTACCGACTTTAGGTGCTTGTCCAGTGCCAGTTTGAAGACTGCCAGGGGTCTATTGGTAATCCCCCTTATGTATGCTGGGAGGCAGTTGAACAGTCTCGGGCCCCTGACACTTATTGTATTGTCTCTTAACGTGCTAGTGACACCCCTGCTTTTCATTGGGGAGATGTTGCATCGTCTGCTGAGTCTTTTGCTTTCGTTGTGAGTGATTTTCGTGGGCAAGTTCGGTACTAGTCCCTCTAGGATTTTCCAGGTGTATATAATCATGTATCTCTCCCGCCTACGTTCCAGGGAGTACAGGTTCAGGAACTTCAAGCGCTCCCAGTAACTGAGGTGTTTTATCTCCGTTATGCGCGCCATGAAGGTTCTCTGTACATTTTCTAGGTCAGCAATTTCACCTGCCTTGAAAGGTGCTGTTAGTGTGCAAAAATTTTCCAGCCTAGATAGAACAAGTGACCTGAAGAGTGTCATCATGGGCTTGGCATCCCTAGTTTTGAAGGGTCTCATAATCCATCCTGTCATTTTTCTACCAGCTGAGATTGATACAATGTTATGGTCCTTGAAGGTGAGATCCTCCGACATGATCACTCCCAGGTCTTTGACGTTGGTTTTTCGCTCTATTTTGTGGCCGGAATTTGTTTTATACCTTGATGAAGTTTTAATTTCCTCGTGTTTACCATATCGGAGTAATTGAAATTTCTCATCGTTGAACTTCATATTGTTTTCTGCAGCCCATTGAAAGATTTGGTTGACGTCCGCCTGGAGCCTTGCAGTGTCTGCAATGGAAGACACTGTCATGCAGATTCGGGTGTCATCTGCAAAGGAAGACACGGTGCTGTGGCTGACATCCTTGTCTATGTCAGATATGAGGATGAAAAACAAGATGGGAGCGAGTACTGTGCCTTGTGGAACAGAGCTTTTCACCGTAGCTGCCTCGGACTTTACTCTGTTGACTACTACTCTTTGTGTTCTGTTAGTGAGAGAATTATAGATCCATCTACCAACTTTTCCAGTTATTCCTTTAGCATGCATTTTATGCGTTATTACGCCATGGTCACACTTGTCGAAGGCTTTTGCGAAGTCTGTATATATTACATCTGCATTCTTTTTGTCTTCTAGTGCATCTAGGACCTTGTCGTAGTGATCCAATAGTTGAGACAGACAGGAGCGACCTGTTCTAAACCCATGTTGCCCTGGGTTGTGTAACTGATGGGTTTCTAGATGGGTGGTGATCTTGCTTCTTAGGACCCTTTCAAAGATTTTTATGATATGGGATGTTAGTGCTATCGGTCTGTAGTTCTTTGCTATTGCTTTATTGCCCCCTTTGTGGAGTGGGGCTATGTCTGTTGTTTTTAGTAACTGTGGGACGACCCCCGTGTCCATGCTCCCTCTCCATAGGATGGTAAAAGCTCGTGGTAGGGGCTTCTTGCAGTTCTTGATGAACACGGAGTTCCATGAGTCTGGCCCTGGGGCAGAGTGCATGGGCATGTCATTTATCGCCTGTTCTAAGTCATTTGGCGTCAGGATAGCATCAGATAGGCTTGTGTTAACCAAATTCTGTGGCTCTCTCATAAAAAATTAATTTTGATCTTCGACTCTCGGTCTGGTTAGCGGCTTGCTAAAAACTGAGTCATAGGGGACAAAAAGATACAAAGCATCCAGACCATGGGAAAACCTGGGTAGGCACAGCCACTCAAAAGCGAGAGGTTTTTTAGTGCCAGGAAGGAAAAAAACTGGCAGGAAATGGCAGAAATCGTACACCAAATCCATTCATTTATGGAGTGGAATCACAGTCGATGGCCTCCACTCCAAACCAACAGATACAGATATTAGTGCAGGAAAAAAATCCCCCCTCAGTACCACCAATACCACCAATCAGATGACATTCTTCTTTGCAAATACACAGGGTCTAAAGCCAGCAACGAACAACAAAATACCTTGCATCCGTGGACTGCTTGCAGAGGCAAATGCAGGGTTTGCGGCCTTCACTGAGACCCACATAAAGGATCACTTGGACAACGAAATATAGATCCCAGGTTACACCCTATACAGATGTGACAGAGTGAGCAGGCAAAAGGGGGGGGTTGGCCTGTATATCGCAGAGTCACTTATTTGCACAGAACTGCTAAATGCCTCAAATGATGTAGCTGAAGTTTTAGCGGTAAAGATCGAGAACCAAAATCTAGTCATTGTGATAGTCTACAAGCCTCCGGATACAACGTCCCAAAAATTTCCCCCAAAAAAGTTTTGGGGAATTTGACCATGTCGGGAAAAACCCTTTTAAGCTCCTCCCCCCAACTTTCTTGCCCCCTTGGGGGATTTAAATTTAAAGGAAACCAAAAATGGGGGAAATTATAGCAAAATGTTGTTGCAGCGATAACCCCGGGAAAGGCAGCCCCAGACGAGAACTCAACACACACGAGCTTTTAAATCTCGGCATAAAATTCAACTTAAACCAGCTTTTTAAATAGGGGCCAAATAGATTGGAGAATACATATCAAAAACTTTTTACTCGGATCAAAATAATCGAGGTTGGGACAGGTAGCATGGACCCCCAGACCGACAAAATGGGATCGGGCACGGGGGGCCTTCCCCCAAAATTAAAACTTCAAAAAACAAGAATAAAAAAGTTGGGCCCAAGTAAAAAAAAGTTTTAAATGATAAAAGGGGGAAAGATAGACAAAGCAATACCCCCCCAAACTTTTCCCTTTAAAACCCAAAATTAACTTGTGACACTCAAAGTATGCTAAAGGGAATATTCCTTTAAAAAAAAAAGGGGATTTTTTAAAAAAATGGGAAAGGACGGGCGTCCCTTTACAGGCGAAGGAAAAAAAGAATGACGAGGGGCCCAAAAAGGGGTTTAAAAGTTTCTGCAATGTTTGGGGAGAAAATGGCAGAGAAATAGCAAACATCGAACTTAAGCAAAAGGAAATTTTTTATGAGTAAGGAATCGGGGGAAAGAACTAAAAGCCTTTAAATGAAATCGAAAAAAACCCCATAGTATTTCTTTTTTATGCCCAAAACAAATTTGGAACAAAATTTCCCGTTTGGGCCCCTTTACTTTAAAAAAGATGGGTCCCACACAGATGAAAAGCAAGGAATGGTTTTAACTTTTCAAGTCCAAAATGACTCAGGTTTTTTGCAAAAACCCCTAACCAGGGGCTTTAGAGTTTGAAGAAACCCAAAAATTTAAATTTTTTTTGAGAGGCCACAGGAAAAAAGGTTTAAAAACAAAGCCTATCTGATGTTAAACCTGACATCAAAAAGTTCGAACCCGGCGGAAAAAATTTGGGGGTGCCCCTGCACTTTTGCCCCAGGGGGCCCGATCATGGGAAATCCCTTTTTCATAAGAACCCGCAAAAAAAGCCCCCTATCACGTGCTTTTTTTTTCCCCCTATGGAGGGAAAGGGGGATGGACACTGGGGGCGTCCCCCCAGTTACTAAAAACAAAAAGACATAAACCCCATCCCCAAAAAAAGGGGAGTAAAAAAATAGCAAAGGGAATACAGACCGATAGCGTTAACATCCATTTCATAAAAATTTTTTGAAAGAGTCCTAAGAAGCAAGATCCCAAACCCCCCCTAGATACCATCAGTTACACCCAAACCCCCGGGCCAAAAATGGGGTTTTGAGCACGGTTTGCTCCCGTTGTCCCAAATTCTGGAACCCTACGACAAGGTCCTGGGATGCACTAGAAGAAAAAAAAAAATGCAGTGTAAAAAATATACACACTTTGCAAAAAACCTTCGACAAGTGTGACCATGGCGTAATAACGTACAAAATGCGTGCTAAAGGAATAACAGGAAAAGTTGGTAGGTGGATCTATAACTTCTTCACAAATAGAACACAAAGAGTAGTAGTAAACAGTGTCAAGTCTGAGGAGGCTACGGTGAAAAGCTCTGTTCCACAAGGCACAGTACTCTCTCCCATCTTGTTCCTCATCCTCATATCTGACATAGACAAGAATGTAAGCCACAGCACCGTGTC